CCCCAAAACCCCAAAACCCCAAAACCCCGAAAGGTCTAAATAAAATGGATGTAATAAAATGAAAACTGAAAATTTTTGAATTGAATATTATGATAATATTAAAACGAATCCAATTTAATATACAAATGGTAGTCAGTTTTCATAATCATTATCCTTGATTCTCTTTGCAGCAATTTTGAATAGATCAGCATTTTTTGCTTGCTATTTAGCATAGAACTCTTCATTGCTAGGTCTTGGTTTGGGGTTGAAAGCGTTATCGTAAGCTGCTGAACCATAAATTTCCTTAAGCATAGCTTTCTCTCCAGCATTAGGGTCAACAGTTGGTTTAGGTTTTGGATTGATTTTGGGCTTTGAAGTTGGTTTACTTTTCTTGGGTTCAAACCAGCTCAGAATTTCAGCGAATGGGTTCCACCATTACACATATGGATCGACAGAATCATTGATTTTTCCAAACCCATAAGGAGATTGAACTTGAGGTTATGCTTTGTGAATGTAATTAGCTTTTCTAAATGTTCCATCTTGAATCTACTAGCCTGCATCAAGAGTGTGTCTTAAGTTAGCTAGGAATCCATGATCAATATCTTTTTGGATATCATAGTTATCTTCTTCATCGTAGTCTGGACCATATTCGCTTTGAAGATTGTCAAGTTTATCTTAAAGAGCCATCTTTTTCTTAAAGTCAGCCATTGCTTCTTTTCTTGATGCTCTGACTTCAACATTGCCACCATATTGCTTTCTAATTTAATTTAGCTTTTGTTGAGATTTCATTTGTTACCTATAATTGAAAGTGCCTTCGTATGAAGCAGAAGATTTGTCCCAAATGTCATCGAAATTATCTTGAACACTGGGTCCATAGATTTTTTGCATGGTCTCAAGATAGGCTTGCTCCTTGAGTTAATGCTTCTGTTGGTAGAGTGGGTCGTAGTATGGGTTTGGAGCTTGAACGTTGTAGTGACCGTAAATATTTTACATTCCAGAAAGATAAGCTTGTTGCTTCATTTCTCTCTCAACATCTTCTAAGGGGTTTCCTTATTGGACTTTATTACCGTAGATTTTTTGCATAGTCTCAAGATAGGCTTGCTACTTGAGTTGATGTTGCTATAGATAGAGTGGATCGTAATAACCCCATTATGGTGATTGCACGTTAGCATAGTGACCGTAGATGTTTTGCATTCCTGAAAGATAAGCTTGTTGCTTCATTTCTCTTTCAACATCTGATAATGGATCTCCACCTTGAACTTTTGGTGATTATACATTGTAGTGGCCGTAGATGTTTTACATGCCTGAGAGATAGGTTTATTGCTTCATTTCTCTCTCCAAGTCAGAGAGTGGGTTGCCACTTTAGACAGATGTTCCGTAAATCTTTTGAAGAGCCTCAAGGTAAGCTTGTTCCTTGAGTTGATATTCTGTTTTAGCAAGTGGGTTGTAATATGGTGCTGCTTCAACTTCAATATCTTCTGCTTGAGCGGCAACGTTTCCGAGGAGAACTGCTCCTGCAATTGTGATGTACTTCTTCATTTTAAGGATTTGTTTTTAGATAAATATATTGATTAAATTATAACTTTCGAGCCTTTAAATAGAGGTCCATTATAATATCTTTGAAACTTATAATATTTTATTTAAGATATTATAGTAATAATAAATCTTAATTTATAAATTTAAATGTTTAAAATCCATTTTAATTATCAAACAAGGGGTTTTGGGGTTTTGGGGTTTTGGGG